TTCTAAACACCATGCAAGTCATGCCTCTTTATTTACTGGTAAAATGAGAGATTTCTTCATGTAACATAACTTCTTAGTCCAGTGAATAAAAGATGCAATGAATGTAATTTCTGAAACATTTTGGCTTGTTTTTTTTCTATAGTTCTTTTATTCTAGTAGCACATAATTGTCAATTTTGTGCTTTTTCATTTGTTACCAAACATTTAAGCCAATTGCAATTTGTAATATCAATCAGATGCGATCATCTAGGACAAGGCTTAGAATCAATAGATCCAATTTCAGCATGATTATACAAATTGTTGTTTTTACAAAAATAAAATATGGCACCTTGTTATTCTGCAGTTAATTCGTTATTTTTTCCCATTATTGTAGTTATAATCATAATTTGTAAAAAAAATAAAGTGAGAAAGAAAAAATGAAGTTAAAAATGTTTTTTAAGACAATAAATAAAAATAACCCATATTTGTATAATAAACGTTACCTTTTTTGTATAGCAATCGCATTTCAAAAGTCACATTTGAAAACTTATAATAATCTTCTATATTTACTTATCATATAAGCAAATAATTAACTATAAAAATTAACCTTTTTATTTAGTTTATAACTAAAATATAACGTTTTCTATTGATAATTCTGATTATTCTAATAACTTTTGTACTAACTAGAATTTTACCTTATAAGAAAGAAATGATAATTTTATTAACAAATACTTATAATACAATTAGATACAAAAGTACAAATACAATTTGTATAATAATAACAAAAGTAATACTATGACAAAAATATAAAGATCTCTGTTTCATATAAAATTGGAGATAAGATTTTGTATTTTTAAGCAGCAAAAGATAAATTCCATTCTGAAAAATTAGATTAAAAATAAAAAGAACTGTATTATATCCATCAAATCTTATTAAATAGTTCTTATAAGATAAGAGAACTAAATGGTCATATACTTTGTATTTCAGTAAATGAAAATTTTTTGAATATATATAAAAACCCTTCTTTTTAAGATTAGATTCTCTTTTATTTTTTTATTTTTATTTTTATTTTATTATTTATTATAATTTTACAAAAATAATATTATTTTTTATTGAAAATTTTAATAAAACTTTGCCCTTAAAAATAATTTCTTCTTTTCCTTTATATTTAATTAGAATAGATTTACAAAAGAAATTTTAGACAACTTATCAAATGTTACTAAGAGCTACATGAATAAAGAATTAGACTCTTACTTTAGTTAATATTTATTATTTGGGAAAAATTTGGAAACAGAAACTTCTTTACTAGTATAATAAAGTTAATTGAGAGAACTAGTTATCAAATATTATAGTTTTATCTCAATTCGTATATATTACCTTTATAAAATATTAGGTATAAATTAAATTTAACAATCAAGACATATATTATTAAGGAAAATTTATATATTTCTAAGTCAATTCTACTGGTCTTTAATTAATAAAACTATAAATATTTAGGCAGAAATTTTAAATTTAGAAGGAAAGGATTGAAATTGTGATCCTTAACTATGCTTTAATTAGTTATATAATTAAAATGATTAATAGAGTTGATAAAGAGAATAAATTATATCAAGTTGCTAAAGAAATCATCATTGATCTATTTAATATATCAGATAAATTAATTATAATTATTATAATTAATATACTTGTTAATTATATCTTAATTAATAGGGTATTTATATTTATCTTATTTATTTATTTTATTTTTTATATTATATTTATTATATTATGTTTTATAGTATTTTATTTTATATAAATATCTTGTATTTTCCTTTAAATTGAAAAGTAACTTAAATTAAGGTTTTAGGATAAACAAGGAGTTTAATAAAGAAATCTTATAAATTTATTTATTATTACCTTATATTGTATCTTCATATAGGTATGATTATAATAAAGTCTTATATTTAATTCAACAGATCGAATTAAAAATTAATTATTTTAATTTATGAATATTAAGCTAACATTGTTTACACTTATAGTTTGCAGCCAGCATTAGTATTACTTTTAAAAGATCTTTTTGATATTTAATTTTAGCTAAATACTTTCTTACTGTCTTATATGATATATTTATATCTTTTGATAATAACTTTATTGATAGAATTCTTATTAAAATAAAAGAGTCCTAATGAATAAATTAGGCCAATGTTCTTGATGTATTAGCAATAATCTTTTTGAGTGATCATTTTTTTCTACATACTAAATCATTCTGAACTCATAAAGTTTAATAAGATTATTATATATAGTAGTAAGAGAAATTTCAATATGTTGATAGATTTCTCTAGCCTTTTAAATATTCTGATTTTATAATTTTAACATCACTTAACATTAATTTTTTGTTAGAGGTCATTGTTTCTAATTAATTGATTTTAAGAGTTATTTTAAAAAATTAAAGATATTGAAAGAAGGAAATAAAAAAATTTAGTAATACAAAAAAAAATTATATACTTACTTATTTGATAATTATATTCTTTTAAATAGTTCAGATCAGACTTAATTTGGCTAAGATCTTTATCTTTTTATTTCTTAATTTTTTTTTTTATACTGTAGTTGTAGATTGATATCTTAATAAATTAGTATAAAAATTAGAATAAAAAATAGAAAAATTAGTTTTATACTAATATTATGGCATATCTTCAATTTTGTGATATAAATACAAAAAGTTGCTAAAGAAAAAAGTAAATATTACATAGATTTACTTGTATAATATTGGATAAATTATACTTCTGAACAAATTAATTTTTGTTGATAAAATAGCTAAAAATGAAAAAATACTTATCAGATTATATAGCTACTTTTATATTAATACTAAAGCAAAAAAATGTGTTATTTTTGTTAGAGGAAAATACTATACTATTTTGCTTGCATTATCTTTGAAAAGTTTTATTACTATTGATATTATGAATGAAAGCTATAATAAAAAAATGTTTCAGACTTTTGTTTGACACAATTGGTAAAAAATTATATATATATTATTTTCTGAAAATTTTTTTTTGTTAATAATTTTATTAATTATTTTATCTAAAATAATTATTCTAAATGAATCCTTATTCTGTTAAACATAATGTATTAGTTATAGTATACATTATGATGAAGATTTAGTTACAGCAATAGAAGTTATTTGTGGTAAAGTGCTTTATTTGCCTTCTTTTTCATCAGATTTCAATACTATTAAAACAGCTTTTTCAGTATTGAAATTTTTATTAAAAAGATATAGAGATTTTGAAAATTATTTTAACCTAATATATTTAATTTTAGTTGTATTAGCTCAAACTATATCAGAAATAGCAAAAAAATATTTTGAAGAATCAATTTAAAATGTATAAAACTTTATTATAATATAAATGTATGAAATATACAAAAAAATTATTCAATAGTTTTTTGCTTTATCTTATAATGTTTGTCCTGTATATGTTGCTAGAGTGAGAAGGAACTATAAACGGATTCTATTAAAGTTTTCTCTGATATTTTTACTGGATGGAAACCAATCATTCAATGTTTGATATGATTACTAACAATCTTGCTTCTTTAAGTAGAAATTGTTCATTTTATTATTTGATAGCGCACCTCTAAATTTCTTATAACCCAACAATTACAGAAAGAAGCTCGTTTTATTTTTCAATATCGAGAAGAAAACGTTTTTTGACAAATCTTTGTGAATTCAGTAAACTATTCGTATATGCTAAAGCAACTGCGCAAGCTTTTTCAAAATACTCTATACATCTTTTATAAGGATATATCAAGCCTGAATTCAGTATTCTTCAATTAAATCTTCATTTCATGATATTAACAATTATATTTTGCTTTTGATAGGTTATGAAATAACAGATCATCACCTTTCAAGGAGCTTCGTCACTTCCAGGAAACACAATACTACTATCCTATGTGATTATTTATATTGCGATTGTACTAACTATTTGACTAACGGTATTATTCTAGCATACGAGCAAGGTTATCATAACTATTATTTGCAAAGATGCCAATATAAAAGTCTTATTTGTTTAGAATACCTTCAAGATGAGGTCAAAAGAAACGTTGATGCATTAAAAACAAGTTTGATAAGCCTAAAAAGAGATTCTTTTGAAAATGAATCTGTTGGTAAAAATCGTGAATATACAATTGAAGACGATTTTAACGATGCAGAAAAAGCAACAGACGATGTAATAACAATCGAAGATTTATTGGAGTGCGCAAAAAAATCTTTTTTTCGAATTGTAATTTTTCTTTTATTTAAATAAATAATATTTGGCATTTGTAATAAAAAAAAACTAGATCAAAATTACATAAATTTGTTATCAACGCATAGTTTCTTAAATTGAATCAATTAAATCGCGTTTTTGATAAAAATTTTTGGTCAATCCGTGTAATTTGTGTTACCGAGGACGGTCTCTCCTGTTGATAATGACCTTAATAATAACCAAAACCCTTAATGTGATTTAGACAGACAGAAAGTAATGGAGTCCGGGAGTGGGGTACGCTTGAAGTATGTGGTATACTATATTGTACTCAATTGTAATAAAATATTAATAGTTAAAAATAAAAATTGATGTTTTACTAAAAAATTACGGATATGATGGGTGGGTAAATTTATTTTTTAATACACATAGATCTGCAAATACCGCTTCTATTTTATATATTTTATGTCTTTCGTGAAACCAATGAAAGCAATTTAAAAAATGTTAGTTATTTAATGGTTTGCTTTTATCTTTTGATATTTGAAATGGTAAAAAAAAAATGCTTCAGAAAAATTTACCTATGATAATATTAATAAAAAATTTTTATTGTCGTACAAATAAAAATTTAAATTTTTTTATTTTTTTTTTTGTGATAGTAAAATATAATATGCAGATCAAATTTGATATTTGTTACCATACATAGTCCTTCGTTACACTTCGGACTAATAAGGTTATGCGCGTTTAAGTAAACAAATTATAAATAATATAAATTACTTAAAATTGTAATTCTAAATTCGTTGTCTTATAAACTATGCTTAAAAACAGAAAATGTTCATATTGCGACGAACTTATTGAAAAACAATGTAAAGAGTGCGACTCCCCATATCGAATAAGTGAAAGTTGGACCAGTGGAGATGTTCGTATCGATAACTTCATCAAAGATGCTATGTATAAAGCAAGGAATGGCGGAAGATGGCTTGAATGGATATCATTTGATAGATTTACTAACATAGAATTATATGAAGATGGCTTTGATAAAGTTTATTTGGCGTTATGGTTGGATGGTAGAGATAATTACCTTGAGCAGAATGGAAGTTTGAAAAATGAACCACAACCTGTAAAAGTTTTCTTGAAACAATTTAATTTATCAGCTGATTGTTTAAATGAGGTATAGCTTCTATTTTGATTTCTAATTTAGGTCGTTCAAATTATAGTTTAGCGAGTTGCATCATTTTAACTGTTTGCTGCGGGTTCGAATAATTCGTCATAGACTTTTTTTAATTGATGTGAATTTTATTTAATATTAATATCTTGCTTACATTATAGATTAAAAATCATTGGGAGTTCTTTAACACAGTTGTTGCTTTATCATCAAAGTTTTATGGAATATCTAAAACATCCGGAAACTCAAGAATTTATAATGGTCATTCATTATGGAAATCAAAGACCTTTGCGTACATTACTTGAGAATGAATGAAATTATCATGGAAACAAAAAATTGAAATATTACGTGATACCTCTAAAATTCTCAGGAATTTGCATGAGTTAGGATATAGTCATAATAATTTCCATTGTGGAAGTATAATGCTAGGTGAAAGTTCAAAAATTTATTTTACGAATTTTAAACTAACTCAACCAATTAAGCATCCGATTGCACCAAATAATAAATTATTGGAATTAATGCCATATATTTCCCCTGAAATTATGAAGGGAGAATCATATTCTTTAGCTTCTGATATCTATAACTTTGGTATGGTTATGATTGAATTTTCGATTGGAAAATGTCTATTTGAAAACAAGGTTAGACCAGAATTTGGAAAAGGAACTCCCGAAATTTATAAGGATTTTGTTAATAAATGTATAAATGTTAATCCGGACCGAAGGCCCACATCACCTGGACTATACAAGCAATTAAAATTTTGGTATAGATGTATTATTGGAGATTGTGCCGAATCTGATAAATATGGAGAAATGGTAAAATCAGCATTTGATAACGCAGGTAAGAAATATAACAAATGATAACAAATAAGAAACTTTTAATGTATAACTAAAGTTTCATTTATTAGATAATTATAATGATGAAGACGTTGAAGGTAACTATATTTAATCAACTTGATAATTTTCCTTAGAATTATAATAACATTAAAATACTTAATTTAATTATATTAATATTTTATATCAGATTTTAAAATAATAATAGAAGATGCAGGTATAAATCTTCTCTTAATCTTATCATAATTTATTTAATTTTTCTTGATTCAAATATTAATTTTTATCTAGAGGTTAAATTATTATCTGAATGGTTTAAAGAATCAATTGACAATAAAGAAATTACTTTATATACTCATACGGATTTTAAAAATGAATCTGAAGTTGGCTCTGGAGCATCCGCTTCAGTTTTTACTGTAACTTTGAAAAATGAAACATTTGCAATTAAAAAATTCAACAAAATTACAAGTATGAAAGAAATTGTCAATGAGGTATTATGAAAATCTTTTACATTGACTTTTAATCATTAATATTCTTAAACTTGCACATTATTTATTGTTTATATTGAATTAATGAAAAAAGTTAATTCTCATCCTAATATTATTAAATTTTGGGGAATTACAATATATTCATCCGGTACTATTTAAGCGTAATTCGTCAAGTTACATGATTAGTATTGTTTTTTGCATTAATATCTTTTATTTTCTTTTTTTAGTTAAATTTGATAAAAGAACAAACTATTCACTTGTTCTTGAATATGCAGATAGTGGGACATTGAGAACTTATTTAAAAAAAAATTTTAGCACCTTTAAATGGAAGGACCAATTAAAATTTGCCAAGGAAATTGCCGATGCAATTTCGTATTTGCACGATAATGGAATTATACACCGGGACCTTGTAAGCTTAATTTACTTAAAAATTTATCATAATTACTATTCTTTTATTAATTATAAAATTTTTTATTTTAGCATTCTAACAATATATTAGTGCATCAACATACAATTAAACTTGCAGATTTTGGAATTTCACGTAGATTAGAAGGATCAGTACATTATACTAAAAATTTGATTGGTGTGCTTGCTTATCTGGACCCTATTTCTCTTAATAAGGATCATCTTGATAGTCATAAATTAACAAAAAAGTGTGATATATATAGCTTAGGTGTATTATTCTGGGAATTAACAAGTCGCTCACCACCTTTCGATACTGAGAATCTTAATATTTTAGATATTTTCATTGGTAAAAGGGAGAAACCTATTCCAAACACAAATTCTAAATTTGTTGAACTCTATGAAAGTGATTATAAACATTTTTAATTAAATTTTATTTATTTAATATCACAATATAACCATTTATTTATTTCAATAGAATGCTGGCATAATAATTCTGATAAAAGACCAAATATTCGTCAAGTAATTTTAGAACTTAATAATATTTCTACGGAAAATACTTATGATATAAAATTTGATAATGATAATATGGAAATTGACGAAAATCAATTGCATGAAGAAATGATTATTAATGAAGAAAATAATTTTGTAGTTCCAGACGGTAAATACATATACTAATATACAAAAAAAAAAAAAAAAAATAATAAATATACTTCATTGTTCATTAATTTATAACTTATATATTATAGACTTAAATGGGTACACATTTAATAAGAATAACAGTTCTAACAGCAGAAATTTATATATCCCTCCCTTTAATAAAATTATTATGCAAGGTTTAAGTCAGGTAAATATAATTTTGATTTTGATTTGATATCTTTCTCCTGATTATAATGTATTATTATTTTTTATTTTTATTTTAATAGAAAATCGATTTTTCAAATATCGATGCTCAAATTATTATTGGATCTAAAATTTTTAATTTAAAATTTGATCGGATTAAAATTATTTATGAAGTTATTGAGAAAAGCAATATCATTTCTAGACACTAAAGCGTTCAAAATTACAGATGATAGAGCTCAACTTTTACGAGATATTATTCAGAAGGATAATACTTTAACTGAGGAAGAGAAATTAATAGCTATTGATATTACTGATCCGCCATATTTTTTTATAGCTTTTACTATTAGGAAAGCCATATCGCTTTTGGATCCTAAAATTTATACTACTAATAATGATCGACTTCGATTTTACAAGATATTATTCAAGAGGATGTTATTTTAGCTGATAGTGAAAAAGCTACAGCTATCAAATTGACTAATTTAGAATTAGATCGTATTAATAAAATTTTTAAAGAAATGAAAAAACCTTTAGATCCAGAAATAAACAAAATTATGAATGAGATAACATCGAATATAATGACAAATGAGGCTGAATCAGAAATCTGTGTTGCATCAAAAAAAGGTACTTACTTTTGCAAATCGGTAATAAATATTATTTTTAATTTTTTTTTTAAAAATTAATTTTTATTGTAGAAGATAAATTATTTTCTGAATGGCTAAAAAAATCCATTGAAACTAAAGAAATTACATTTTATGATCATACGGATTTTAAGTATGTAACCGAAATTTGTTCTGGATCAACTACTTCAGTATTCACTGTAAATTGGAAAAATGAAGTTTTTGTAATTAAAAAATTTCATAATATTTTAAATATGAAAGAAATTATTAATGAGGTATGTTATTAAATTATTTATCTATTTCTATTAACAAAAACATTTATATTTATTATTTAGATTGAAATAATGAGGAAAGTTCATTCTCATCCTAATATTATTAAATTTCGGGGAATTACAAAAAATGAAGGTACAATAATAATTAAACAATTTTTGCTAAATACAAAATTTTTTAGTATTAATGTCATTTAATTTTTTTGAGGTTTTTAGTCGAAATTACTAAAAAAACAAACTATTCACTTATTCTTGAATATGCAAATGGTGGAACATTAAGACAATATTTAAAGGAAAATTCTAGCACCTTTAAATGGAAGGATCAACTAAAATTCGCTAAAGAAATTGCAAATACAATTTTATATTTGCACGATAACGAAATTATACACCGGGATCTTGTAAGTTAATTTACTTCATGATCTATTATAATTCCTACGCTATTGTTAATTATAAAATGTCATAGCATTCGAACAATATATTAGTGCATCAACATTCAATTAAACTGGCAGATTTTGGAATTTCACGTAGATTAGAAGAATCAGTACACTACACTGAAAATTTGATTGGTGTAGCTCCTTATATGGATCCTATCACTTTTAATAATCTTAATTTTTATAATATTAATAATAAATTAAGAAAACAATATGATATATATAGTTTAGGCGTATTATTCTGGGAATTAACAAGTCGTTCACCACCTTTCGATACTGAAGAAATTACTCTAATAGATATTTTCAATGGTAAAAGAGAGAAACCTATTCTAAATACAAATTCCAAATATGTTGAGCTTTATGAAAGTAAGTATAATCCTCTTTTATAAACTTATTATTTTCAAATAAATTTAATTTATTTTTATAAATAGAATGCTGGCAACTTGAACCAGTTGAAAGACCAAATATTCGTCAAGTAATTTTAGAACTTAAACTATTTTTTCTACCCTTCAAAGACATCCATGTCGATTTAATGTTATCATCCTCTCGAATATTATTAAGTTCCAATAATATAGATTCGAAGTATCCTCGTATCAAAATTAGCTTAAATGATTCGGATGATTTGGTTATGGATGTAGATTCCAGTTCCCTTCCATCCCTATCTCCGTTTCCATCCCCCTTATCTTCTTCATGCCTTCGCCGTCAACGTCAATGGATTATTCACAGGAGACAATTTTTCAATATGAAAATGAAGTATCAAGCGAATTAAATAAAATGCATTTAAATAATAACTTGGAAAATGAAATGGAGGTTTGTGAAGATAAACCAGAATTAAGAAGGGATTTCTCCTCAATAGCGTGTACTGTAATAAAAGAAACTCATATAGCTCAAAGTTTCGAAGAATTTTATCCAATAATCAAAAAGTTCCTCTCATTGGGAAATGAAATTGTATTGTTGTATGAAAAGGCCGAACATAATAAACAATTATGCAGTGCTCTCTTACAAAGGTGTAATTGTGCAATTGCTGCAGTAAAAGATTTAAATATTAGAAAAACCGAAATCGTGAAGTTTTTTTCTAAGCATGAAAATCTAAGCATATTTAAAAAGTTTATTAAAAAAATTAGAAACTTTATTAGAGATATTAGCCACTTAAACAAACTTCAAAGATTTTTTCAGACGAGTGATATCAACGAAACTTTTTATAAGCTTACGGAGGAATTTGACGGATATATGGATAGTTTAAATTTTTCTTTTACCATACAATCTAGAGATGATTTGATAACAATGAAGGATGGTGTGGAAGATATCTTATTTTATGTTCATGGCGTCTCTGAAGATAAACAATCTCAACAAAAATTCCTTACTGGGATGGATCGAGTGGCCGGAAGAAACGAAGAGTTCAAAAAACATAACAAAACTACCTCAAACACGAATTCATCTGAACATATTATAACAAATGTAGAAGCAAACGAACCATTACTTGAAGGCAATTCTTATATTAGAACAAATTTTTGTCCTTCAAGAAGGATTGAAAAACGCACTTCAGTCAAAAATTGTACTGACGTTTCATTTAGAGAATTTTCAAATAATACATCTTCTCAAACTCAAATTGAAATCAGAGGACAAGTCAATATTCTAAAAGAATTAAAATATCCTGATCATATTATTAGATTTTTTGGTGTAGCTCAAGAGAATTCCAAATATTTTTTGGTTACTGAATGGATGGAACATGGAAACTTACATGAATATTATACCAAATTCAGAGATATGATGAACTGGGAAACCAAAATAAAATTTGCTTTAGATATTTGTCGTGGCGTCGCGTATCTCCATGAATGTAAGGTAAGCAAATGCAATCGTTAATTTTTGAATCTGTCTCTTTTTATATATATATATATATATATTTTTCTAAAAAAAAAAAAATTTGTTATAATTAGATCCTTCATCATGATATCCAGTCGGCAAATATTTTAGTAAATCAATATCAAAAGGTTAAAATAGCAAATTTTGGTCTAAGCAAAAAATTTTCAGATGCTACCAGAAGTATTTCACATAACCTAGAGAATATAAGGTATATGTCCCCAGAAAAATTATTATATGATAAAAATAATAAGGAAAATAAGTTGCCAAAAATTGATTATGATACAAAATGTGAAATTTACAGGCAAGTGAAATATTTTTTTTAAACGAAATTTGTAGTACCATTTATAAAAATTTTTAATCTTTTCTTTTCAATATTATAGAGTTGGAGCATTATTGTGGGAGATTGCAGAATTAAAAAAACCTCATTCTGACCTTGATAATTCGGAAATACTTAATAGTGTTAGAAAACGTATGCGAGAAAGATATTATGAACCATTTTCAAATGATGCTCCCTCTGAATGGAGGGATATAGTATCTAATGGTGAGTGAATATAATTGAATAATAATTAAATTATTTAAATTAAAAGCTTCTTTTTTTTAATTTCTTTGTAACAAAATATATATATTAGCTATGGAATACGAACGTGATTGGCGTTCTAGTATTTCAGCTATTTGTCGGGACCTTTATGAATTGATGATGAAACAACATTCGGATAAATCTCGTCCAAATAGCGGTTTTAGTTGTTCAAATTGTGAGAATGAAACCTCGACACCTTCGGGGGATCATAAAGTAAATTTATCAGCAAGTAATAATCAAAGTTCAACACCCGTAATTTTTACAATTCTCTCTGTTGGAGATGCAATTCGCGAACACAAATCCAGCAATGGAAGCAAACTAGTTGCATGGAATAGTTTCAAATTTCACTCAATAACCAATGTTGAGGCAAAATATTGGGTAGGGTATTATTATTTTCATCATGGTGAAGATATTCCTGAGTTACAACCCATTAATGAGGAAGAAAGGATCAAAAATGCCATTGATATATTTAAAGAAACTGCTGATAAAGGAAATTCTTCCGCTCAATTAAGATATGGAATGCATTTATGGCAAACGGAAAATAATTATATCGAAGCTTTTAAATATTTAAAGAATTCAGCTAATTCACAAGATGTAGCGGCCATGTTTATCGTTGGAAAAGCTTATTGGAATGGTATCAATGGTATTGTACAAGATAAGGCACTAGGTGCAGAATATTTAAGAAGTGCTGCTTTGGCAGCTCATCCTAAAGCTAAGAAATTATGCAATGAATATGGAATTTCTTTTTAAATTATTTTGTTTAAATATATACTGTTTATGTTTCGAATACTAAAATCTCATTATTAATATCAATACCAACTTTTAAATAAATTAACAAAATTATCTTTCCTGAGAATAATAATTTTTCAACAATGACAAACGTAATATTTCAAATTATGAGTACATTGTATTGTATTAAATAAGTATGAAGGATTTTAAATATCATCCGGATCATCCGAATAACCAAAGCATTGACTTTAAGAATTTATACGGCAATTTCAAAAGTCACGTGAATGCCGATCACTTTGCTACGAACGGATTATTCCGAGTATAGTGGCACAATTTTTTTTATCATAAAACGTGTGGATAGAATTTTTTTTTTAGTTTATAATTACAATATCTAGATTTGTATAATGCGTGACGATGATGACTCGAAAATTAGTATTATCTAATAAAAACGTAATTTTTTACCCAAGTTATCCATTATTAGTTTGTGATAATCGATTAAATGATCGAATTTCCGGTCAATAATTTTGCATCGTACTAGCTGGTCAGACATATTGTAATTACATGTGCTTTTAGATCATATTTGTACTTTATGAATAAATTTTTATCATTTACCAAATATATTTTTATAGTAATTTTAATTTATATTTAGAAATCTAATGGTTCGTGATTAGTAGAAAACTTTCCATATACTAGAATCATTAAAAATTAAATTTTTTTTTCATAAATTAAGTAGGGATATGGCTTATAACTATATATATATTAAAACACAATTTTTTTTTTACGGAAATTTCTGGAAAATTTGTTGAATTTCAGATACTAATGTATTGTTGAATCTGATCGTAAGGTAAATTAGTGGATTCGATTCTATTGGCTGGTGCTTATTTGTCACAAACCAAAGTGTGACGAATAAACAAGTCCCTCAAATATTTACTAATAATTGAAACCAGTGTCTTGCATCTGCAGTTTCTTCACTTTCCGAATAAATACATCGCCTCCTAAAAAATTATACGATGTTAATTTAATTCAACCCGAGCTGATTCGTTATTGAGGTTAGTATCCCTCACTTTCCTTTTAATGCGTTGTCCGGACTATTTATATTCCTTTCCACATTATGAATATGCTGTATCTGAACTTGATAAACAACAGGTTAATATTATTATGTTACAATTCTTCTAAAACAAAATCTCTCTTTTTTTAATAAATATTGATCTTTCTTTATATTGTTACGATTGAATGTAATTCCGGCCCGAAATCTTCATAACTCCGCATGTAAATCGTTTTTGATAATTATAGTTAGTCTTTTGACGATCATTTGCCAGGCCTAAAAATCTAACTCCTTTAAAAAAAAAAATAGATCTCCAGGCTGTCACGGTGCCAGGATGTCAAGGTGCCAGGTTATCAGGGCGCCAGGCTGTCAAGGTGCCCAGGTTGTCAAGGTGCCAGTATGACAAATGTTCAAGATGCCAGGCTGGCTATGTAGAACATATAAACCCACGAATATAATTAATATTTTTTTTATATATATCGAGCTTGAAATCCTAAAACAGCTCAGTACCGCCTTTAATATATTTCTTTGAATACATTCCCTTCGCAATCCTCCTTTTTACACCTTCGCGATAATTTCGATTTTCGCCGTTTTGATTTTATAAATTCGCATATGTAACATCGTTTATTATTTTATTTTTAATTTCCGATTTATTAATATTTTATATTATTCATTAATACCTTCTGCTTACATTACAAAATTGTTTAAAGTACATAAACGAAAGAACTGAATATAACAATATCTTCTTTGTTTCGAAATTTTAACACTTCATATATTAAGAATTTTCATTAAGTTTTAAGTAAATTATATTTGGACTTGATATTTTAGACTAAAAATGTCTCAGAAATCCTGAATTTCTAATACAGTAAACTCTCCATAAGTGCACGCTCTCGGGACCGATCATTTTCGTGCACTTAGGGAGGGTGTGCATTTAAAGAACAGCCAATGAATCACAGATATTGTTACACGATTATCGCAACTAAATTTTTTTCAGTTTTTATTAAAATTCGAATATTTTTCTCCGATACATTTCAAATTAAACATTATACAGCACAAGTCATAAGCTAAGTATTACTTATAATCAAAATATGTATCGATATTTGTTTGCCGCATTGAACTTGTTTTTTTGATTTTAAAAAATTTTTCAATTTTTCCTACTAACTTTACATATTCTTCCGCATTGTCCTGTTGAAGCAGAAACATACGTACAGTTTCCAAACTAGCAATTGCAGTGCTAGTATTAATAACAGGATTTTCGCAACTATCATCCATCTCTTCTAAATCGATATTTTTCTCATTGGTATTTTTAAAAAGATATGCAAGTTCTTGATCATCTTTGGGAATTTCGAAAATAACATTCTCTTCAGAAATGTTAAGAAATTCTTCTAACTTCATTGGATGGGAGAGATTAAGGGCCTGAATATCATCCGCAAGATCATTAAGCATTGAGTCTTCAGATCGATAGATATCTTCTAATATATTTCTCAAATCTGCTTCTTCATTGGTACAAGGGGGAAGAATTTTTACATGATGCCAGCAGTTACGAATTGTTTCAACTTTAACCTCATCCCATGCTTTAATAACGAAACAAGCTGCTTGCAAGACATTCATGCGTAAGTCTTCTGCATTGTTATCTGCTTCTACATGCTGTAGCAACAAGCTTTTAAAAAATAATTAATTAAGTTTCAAATGCTTATGAGATATACAAGTTTAATATTATATCTTACTGTATATGAGAACGACGATAATGTCTTTTAAAGGTCATAATTATTCCAGCATCCATTGGCTGGATTTTTGAGGTTATGTTTGGAGGCAGAAAATGAACATCAGTGTATTGTAAAGTAAGACCATCTAACTTGTAACTAGAACAATTGTCAATGAGAAGTAATACACGCTGGCCTTGATGCTTTAGACTAACTTAACGATCAAATTCCCGAATCAATTCTTGAAAGAGTGATGTAATCATCCAGGCTTTGGCATTATTACGGTATGTCATAGGCATATTTTGGATTTTAATATTTTTAAAACAACGCGGTTTTTCATATTTGCCAATTATTAAAGGTTTTAATTTATGAGAACCATCGGCATTTACACATAATGCAATTGAGAGACATTCTTTGTTTACTTTACGTCCAGCAAAACGTCTAGTTGCAAGTGTTCAATCAGGTTCTAATCTACAAATTAATAAGATAAGTATATTTATTTTTTTTAATATTTTATTTTTTTTTATTTTTTTTTTTTATTTTTTTTTTTTTATATTAATAAAAATTTTACCTGTAGAAAAGTCTGGTCTCATCCATGTTATAAATTCTTTTGAGAGGATAGTTAGAACAACATTCTCTTAATAAGGGTAAGGCATTAATGATAGCAGATTCATCAGCAGATGAGGCTTCTCATTCAAGCTTTCGTTGACGAATACCATTCTGATCCTTGAACTTTTAAAGCCATCCTGAGGAAAATTGTAATTTATCTTGAGGAATTTTTAATGTATCAGCAAGTATTTTAGCTTTTTCAATAAGTATTATATCACTTAGAATTATTCGATGCTGATAATCTAAAACAAATTCTTTGAGTGCAAATTCAAGTTTCAAATAGGAGACAGGTTTATGCCATTTTACGTTTGGATTAATAGTTTCTGAACTAAGCCATTTTTCTGATATTTGTAAAATACGAGTAATTGTACTTTCATTAACTCTAAGACCCCACTGTTCTTCGATCCAATTAACATATTGAACTCGAGTCTTTTTATTATTATCACGAACGTAAATACAAAGATTTCGTTTTTAAATTTCAGTAAGAGTGGTTCTTTTAAGAGCCATATTTTTAGGAGGATACTGTTAATGTTATTTAAATAACATGATAGTGTAAGTATTTATTTCAATAGAAAATGAATAGAAGTTACATTAAATCATGTAAGTTTTTCGTTTCTTTTTTCTTAATTTAGATATATGATGAAATCTAATTATTATTTTATTCCTTTTTGTGATAATTTTCAACAATTTGCTTTCTATTTTTATTACTAACATGTTCTATTTACTTGTAAGTATATTCATCTCATATGATCTAATACAAATTTGATTTGATTATATTAATTTGTTCACATACTTGTAAAATTTGGATTAAATTATTTTTATAAATATTTGTACAACTGATTAAAAATATTCAACAAAAAAAATAAAAAATACATTTATAAATAATATAAAAATGAGTTTTTTTTTTCAATAGTTAAATTTATTAAAAGTATACATGGAGTTATTTAAATTAAATTATTTATCATGTAATAAAACGGTTAATTCTAATTGGTTGTTAATCACATAAATGCATTTATAGAGGGTGCTCTAATATATTTGGGATTCAGAATTACTTGCACGTGTAAAATATGGAGGATGTGCACTTAGTTCTAAGTCCTGAGCTTGGGACCGAGTCATAGTGTGCATATAGAGAGGGTGTGCACTTATAGAGGGTACACTTATAAAGAGTTTACTGTACAACTTTTTTTTCTTATTCTGACCCCAAGCCGTCGTGCTATTTTCTCTGAACATGAACTCATTAAAAAGAAACCGATCTATCGCAGTTTAAGAAGTGTTGACGAAAAAATTTATTGAAGTTCGGACGAGACATTTCGCAATTAAGGTATGAATGAAGTATATTTTTTTCAGTTGTGGCTGTACATTTGCAAGGGAGCTTGTGAAGCTAATATCTATTCTTTTGTTCAGAAATTTTGAGGATCTTATTAGGCAAAGAACATAAACTTTTGGTGAGTTTTAATATTGTTAATTTATTTCTGACTTCGTGTATTTTATGCATAATTGACGACCATTTTATTCTATCCAGAATATCGATGTTGGAATAAATAAAATTAGAGTTAATGTTAGGATATTGTATTAGTATGTAGATAGCGTATGTAGATAGCTGAACGAAACACCAGCAGGCATTTAGTATAGAGATTTTATTTTGCTTTGTAAAACAAGTTTATGTATTACCAAAATTACTGAACTCAGGAAGAAGTTTGCTGAAATCGAGAACGAGAATGCTGAGATTCCTGAACTTAGAAGGAAAGTTGCAAACGTTGAGGCTGAGAATGCAAAACTGAGGCAGATTATTGAAGAGAATGCCAAGCGTGATGTTAGAGTCAAGGAACTAGAGCAAAAAAATACAGAGCTTGAGACCAGACTTGCGTCATTAGAACAGGCTTCTTTGATAATAGATAGACAGCCACAGAATGATAATGAAATGATATCAGAGGAGTTACCAGAGGTATCCGTACCAGCTGTTGATGTATCCGAATTTGTAGTAGACCAGCAAAATAATATTGATACCAAGTCAACAGAGGATAAGATAATAGATGATTGTTTGCTTAAGCAAACACTGATGCTAGAGGTGTTACCAGAGATAACTGATGTACATGATATTTGCTGAAAGCAAACCCAGCTTGAGCAGTGTAAGCCTGATAGCAAAACAAATAATACAGTACCAGAGGTAAGTGTGTCTACCAGCCCTCCATTTTGTGAAGAGGATAGGGAGACCAATGAATTCTTAAACGCGGTATATAAGAAGAAGGTTAGCAATGAGATTAGGCAAAGGAAGTAGGAGAAGAAACTTCAAGATAATTCATCACCAGAGGTAACTTCCTAGAGAGAATCAGATTCAGAAACACTCGTAGCTTCTTTAGATTCTGCTATTTCCTTGAATGAAAAAAATGGACAGGGTTGTTCTTCTTTTCCTTAATCAGAGATTTTGCGAGATAAGAAGAATACTCAGTTTTTAGAAAATTCTAATAACAGTCCATTATCTAAATCATGTAATGCTTCTTCTAGCTTCGAATGTGATGAGAGGGTGGGGAAAATTTCCTATAATCTGAAAGTAGAACAAGACTTGAGAGACAAGTTATCTGCTTATATGAAAGGTAAGGGATCTGCTTCACAGAGTGGAGATAAAATATTTGATATACAGATTCCCGAATTTTCCTTAGAAGCAATTCTGACAGGATCTAATAAAGTTACATTACAAGTCATAGTTAATCTATTTAATATAGCAATGAAGGCCAGACGAAAGGAGATCTTATGCTGGTATTGTTACTATAAGGCATATGAGGATCGAGTTAGGGATGTTAAGTCTAAGAATGGTATTGATGACAAATCAGCAAGAACATTGGTATATAGTGAAATCAAACCCCTTCTTTCTGACATTACTGACGTAAACTTGCGTAAAATAACTTTCAGAGCTAAAACAATCTATATATTATTTGATGAGATAGGAATAAATAGAATCCAAATAATTAGCTGTAACGCAAGTACCATCTTGAATTTACATGATAATCAGATCCAAGACATTATAAATGATTTCCCCAAAAAAGCTACTAATACAAATGATGTAGATTATGAAGACTCTGTTCCAAATTGAAACGGACATGTGACTTTGAAAACTAATAAGACTGAGATACAAGCGAATCCCTTGGGAGTAAGTACATCAGTAAATGTATTATTTGCATCTCAATTTTATGATGCTCCTATTTTCGTAATAAGACATTGGATCAATATTCCCTTATATAGAGAATATAGTAGTGAAGACTTCGATTATTATGGCATTACTGATAAGACATTATGCCCATTATGCAAGTTAGATCATGATGAGAAAAGCATAGAAAGTAAATATAAAACCGGATCATATTTTATTAAGTGTGAACAGTGTGAAATTGAGATAACTGCATAGTCTCATTATTTTATAATACTGTATATTTATTTGCGTTTCCCTTGAGAAACTATTTTTTTATAGGGTTAATCTATATCGACTATACTTATTAGGGGTATTCAAAATTGGTTAATGCAAATTTTGATGCATTTGTGATCAACTAATTATATTCTTATTTTTTGGTACATAAAATTGAATAAAGTTGATGCACTATTTTGATGCATTTTTATAAATCAGAATAATCGGAATGTTACATGATAAAAAAAATGTCACGTAATATTGAAAATGCTCTTATTTTACAAATTTTTCAGAATATTATTGATGAAAAAAGTGATAATTATTCTGAAAATGATAGTGATTTTAAGAGTATAGCCGAAGATAATGATCTTATTACTTTTTCTTTACTTAAATTATCAGAATAAAAATACCTTAACCCTTGAATATATAATATTCCAAAATCATCTTATTGGTATAATGAAATTTTACCTTCCTATGATGACAAGCATTTTAAGAAG